TATCTATATATAATATCTTTACCTAATAATAAAGCAAATGGAGTTTCTTTCATCCGTCATGGCATTTTTTAGAAAAATCATTCTATTTCAGAGAATTCAACCCGCAGTCCTGTTTTAAGTTAAAACGACTCGTTATTTTCGTATTTTACACAAAAGTCTATGTCTTTTCTTGAAATCAACCTGCCGTCCGGATTTAAGTCACACCCGAACCGTTATTTTACATTTTTCGAAAATCCCCTTGATGTTTTAGGTAATTCATCCGCGGACCATATTTAATTCAAACAAATGCTTTTTAAAATTATCCATATCTTTTAAACCGTAACTCCGATTTGAACATGTAATATATGAAATTTGATTAGAAAAATATGTAGAATATGAATATGAGATTATTTCTACCTGTTAAGTATTTTTAAATATTATTTTGGAATATATTTGAGTCAAACCAAATGATTTTCTAAATTATCTGTATCTTTTAAACCGTAACTTTGATTTGAACATATTATATATGAAATTTTATTAGAAAAATGTGTGGAATCTAAATATGATGTTAATTTTACCTGTTAAATATTTTTAATATATTGTTATGGAAGCAAACTTATAATTTACAGCGCAAGATCTGTTTTTTCATACCGGCATAATCCAGATTGCAAATAAACACCCCGCTATAACCATATAGGGAAAATAAAACATCGATAACTACACATGCATACCTCTGAAAAATATCGCAGGAAAAAACAACAGATTTCTCATCGCGCGCGCGAGAGAGAGAGAGAGAGAGAGAGGGAGGGAGGGAGGAGAGAGGGAGGGAGAGACGTCTTAGAATTAATCATATTCAACACACATTTTTTGTTGTTTTGTGTGAACAATGAGGCCATCGCCGGAAGGGTGAGAAGGATGATAAGCGGCAACATAAATATGATGTCTCACAAAAATAAAGAAGATGGACATATTGTGGTCTTGAGTGATGGTTGTTGAATTAAGAGCGTGTGTTATGTTTTCTCTCCCGTTGCAACGCACGGGCTCTTTTGCTAGTACTATTCATTGGAATTCAAAAGAAATATAATATATCTGCCTATGTTCCAACTTCCAAAATGGCATCAAACAAAAATGTCTATAAAAGTGAAACCCTGTAAAATTTACATTTTTCCAAATAATAGTTATTCTAAGACAAAGATGCATGCATGCGAACGCCGCCAGCTGCTCTGTTTGCACTTTGCACCTCCTCCATATAGTATCAGTAAAGCAAATTGGAAGGAAAAAGTATTCCTCAAGTTCCAGTCAACTGTGTCGTCATACTTTAGAGAGAGAAGGACCATAGCCCATGAGGACCTAGAGTATATAAGAGTTTTGAAAATCTGAAACAACATAAAGATACTTAAAGTAAAAGAAAACTAAACGCTTTGAATTGGTAGAGCATGCACTCCAAACAAGGGAAAAAAATCTTAGTAATTGACCATGCATATAGACCACCGACCGAAGCTTCCTAGGCACTCAACGTCTCAGCCAAATCTGAAGCTCATAGTGTATTTAAGATATTTGTGTGCTTAATACTCAATCTTGCACTAGTTAAAAATGGAATATATATGCAATATGCAAGCTCCTTTACCCTTTTTTTTAGAATGGAGTACTTTGTTTGCTTTAATCCCTTTTGATTGATGGCTCTTGTTGATACCCGGCCCATTGAGCTCAGCTAAAATAACACAGTCATCATATATTCCACTAGTCATGCATCGCAGAAAAGGGCCGGATTATTGCGATGGTAGTGAAGCACTAGTTGATACTAGCCCCCTTTAAGCAATGCCCACATGATTAACAAGAAGGTTCCCTACTAATGATAATTAACTAAAATCAAATGTGCCACCGTACATGCAAAGCAGTCTATATCTTGGACTAGTATAAGGATGAGTCGAGTCAGCTAACTGTAAAATCTCAACCTTGTCTGTTCCAGCCCAATCACACTCCTTAATTTTTTTCTCCTTGCTAATTAATTAACTAGTTTGATTGACTTGTGGCCAACCATGCAGTGCTGCTGGCTCTTTCCAACTTGACGAAAAAAGCAACAAGCAAGACGAGACGAGTCTGGTCTCGTGCTGTTGGTGCATGCAAAGCTGGCTATTTAATTTGGAGGGCCTAATCAAAATAGAAGCACAACGTTGTCTGCTTACCTCGCATGATCTTTAATTGATCTTTTTTCATCCCCCTTTAATCTTTCTCCTAATTTGATGTTGCTACTACTTTGATCAGTTTGCTCCCCCAAAAATTCCAAGCATTATATTGCAGCTTGCATGCACTTTATAACACTTTTTTCAAATTTAACGAAAAGGCAACAACGCGCCAGACGAGCGAGAGTCTTTGGCTGCAAATGTCACATCGTGTTTCACATGTGTGCTTGACAAGTCCACATCCAGTAGGAGTACTTCAAGTAAGCCAATTAAGCTGGGAGCTGCATGCCTAAGAGATACTCCCTCCGTTCCGAATTACTTGTTTTGGGTTTGTCTAGATACGGATGTATCTAGACTCATTTTAGTGCTAGATACCTCCGTATCTAGACAAATCCAAGACAAGTAATTCGGAACGGAGGGAGTATATGCTACTAGTAGAGTAGTACAAATAAGCTAGCCCTAGTGCTGCCGAATTTCCAGGCTTGATGAGTGGAAGAAAGATGCCAAGCTACTTGTAAGCCACTCGATCGATGTGATGCATCAAGCAAGCACTAGACTGAGCAAGGTGCGGGGCCAAAGCAATGCAGCTTTGGGCTCAACTTAGCTTGGCCTTGGATGCCCTACAAATTAGCTAGCTAGACAGGTAGATACCTTTGCTTGCTGAAAGAACAGAAAAGAAAAGCAAAGCAAAGAGGTAGCAGCAGCACACACGCTATTTCCAAATTTAAGGACTGATCATAACAATAGTTTGTCTCCGCTACTAGATATATATGCCACTAATATGGCATAAACCGTGCCACCTGACGGACGGGCGAAACTGGGTGGGCGGCGTTGTAGCGTACTATGCTAGATAGAGCGGCCGATCGGTCTGGTCAGTGATCGATCTGTGCTTGCTTGCAAGAGCTTAATCTGCACGCGTCTTTTCCTTGTGTGGGATGGCCGATTAGATGATGCAACTGAAAGATTTGCAGCTGCATTATTCTACCTAGCAGCATGAAGCATGCATGTTACCCTCAAAATAGTTGGCCGATCTGTCTGTATAAAGTGACACGCATACATGTCTCTGTGGATTGAATAGCATGCTCGTACAAATTTGTTGCTAAGTCTTACCGATTATCTGGATCAGAAAAGCGCACGCATGCATGCAAGATATATACTGCATCATCCAGCTAGCTAGTGATGGAGTTGGGTATGCGTCTATCAGCGCCAGGGTTACCATCTCGATCCGTAGATCCAGCTAGCCATCGAGCTGTCAAAGCCAGCCAGCAGATCAACTCGATCGATCCATCGTTTCATTTCACCACCAGCGAGGTACGTGGCTCAGCAAGGGTAAGAAAATTTCTCAAAGGGAAACGACCACTGCCTCTGTAATGCATGTACTACTAGTTCGTAGTGTCTGTATGTGCAATCGGTAATAATTAGTTAATGGAAGAAAGAAAAGATCGGTCACATCAGGGCCACTAGCTAGGACGGCATAATAATCAAGAATCCTCTACTTTTCGCCGTCTCAAAGATGCAGAGCAAACCGAGGCACAACGCAATGCACTTCCACATATATATGCACCATAAATCACACAAAGTAGGAAAGGCACTTGTCGAATAATAGTTCACCATACCAGCTAAACTAATCTGATCAGAGACCAAAGTAGCAAAAACACAGGTCCGCAAGCACATGTGAAAATAGCTAGGTGATTAACCATACCAACTAGACCATCTGTGCCTAGCAATTAGCAGAAGAACGCTAGTAGACAAGCGCATGCCAAATAGCTAGGTAATTAGTAACCATACCAACCAGACCATATTATCAGAAACAAGAAGAGCGAAACAGGATATACACGCACAATAAAAGACGATCCCGGTAGCTGCTAATTAATTAAATTAGGAAACAATACCCCCCACACCCCCCCCCAACCTAAAAAATTCTTTGAACTGTCGGAAATCAAACATTCTTAAATTTTATCAAATTTATAAAAAATCAACATCTACCTACAAAAAATAATAATATATGTATAATATGCATACACATTTCATGATATATATATATATATTTTTATTGTATGTATTGAAGTTTTTTTTCGGCGTAAATGTGGTCAAACTTTGATTTTAGAAAACATATCTTGGTTAATGTCTATGCTGCTAATAAAACATACATACTTCACAAGAAAAATAGTAGGGCGATTAATTGTTGGAACACAAGCATGCTAGAATAACAAAATCATACAAAGTTACATTTCAAAACTTATCCATGTTCCACCTAGATCGAATTTCCATTTGTCAGAGTTATTTTTTGGCAGATCACTCGATAGGGGATCAGCTAGGGGAGTAGATCAGAGGGAACACATGAGAGACCGGATTACCCAAGTTCAAGCCCTCACGGTGGAGGTAAAATCCTACTCCTACTCGTGTTGTACTTATGAATAGGGGTTTATGGATCCATATTTTACGAATATTTAGAGCTCATTTGTTGCATATTATGTCCGTATACCATGTCCCATTGAGCCAATTACATGCCCATATGCAGAGGCGGATTTAGGCCCCAGGCAGCCCGGGCCGCTGCCTGGGGCGTGTTGGCGATTCCCTTTGTTGACTGTAGCTACAGTGCTGCGAAGCTGGCCTTGGGCGGCCTGGGTCCTGCCGTTTGTCTAGGTCCACCACTGCCCATATGCATGATTTCCAGTTTTTGCACTTTTCATCATGAGCATTGCACAATCTTTATTCTTTGTTACTTTCTATTAGTTTTCATTGCCTTTGTGTGTTTGGTAGGTTATGAGGACTTCCCATGCACTTAGCACGATGAAATGAGTTCAAATGGACAACATTCTGCTCCCAGACTCCATTTCAGAGAGTGAAAAAGTCATTTTTGCAAAGCTTTTTCTGGTGTTGTTGCCTGGGAGCATAGTTCTTGACTATTACTTTCCTGTTCACACATAGTTTTTTTGTTGCTATAAATCCAACAACTATAAAAAAATATGCTCATCCTGTCTTTTGAGATGTCTACTTAGGAACAACAGAAATCTGCAATGGAGGAGATGAGCTAGAAAGAGAAACTGTTTTCAGCTACTGATGAAGCAACGCTAAATGGATGTTTACAATTGGTAAAGAAAAGTGCGTCCCTTATATGTGTTCATAACCGTTGCCATGCATAGACTGTTGAGCCGAAGAGCACCTGAGATATCAATGTAAGTGTAATATCGGACCGTACTGGCGAGCTATAATTCCAGTGATAAATTGAATGCCATATTGGTCATCTTACAATTTGTACTTCTTGAGGATGTCGATGATGTTCTACATCATACCTTAGGTATGGAGAATAAGGATGATCCAGTCATTTTGATTTACATGAAGTTGCAACTTATTCATACTTTTTCCTGCTTAAATGTTTTCTAAGATAACCCACTAGTGATCAATGAACAAGATCAGATAACACCCACCTTGGGAGAAGTAAAAAAAATGCAGGATCCGCAGAAGGATGAAGAAGAAGGTTGCACAAGAAGAGCAAATAGCCCCCCATAGATGAATGGCTGCAAGAATCATTCGGATACCACACAGGAATTATAGGTCCAAAATTCAAACTAGAAAGCATGAGCTGTTACGGAAAGTCAATTTGGCTCCGGGAGCACATGCTCCTGGGCCCATTTTTTTTAAATGTCAACAAAATTGAGACAATTTTTTGGTGATCTTTGTCACATACAAATGCTACCTGCAAATTATGAGGCAAAAAGATTAAGCATTTTGGCCTACGAAAAAAAACAAATTGAAGACCAAATGTCACCCCAATTTTGTTTTTTTACCAACGAAACCAGCTGCTCCGTTACGAATGAAAATTGTCAAGCATGCTTGCGACATCAACCTTATCATCTATAGAAAATTCAGATTTTTTTGAAAACATTTTTTTCAGGGTACTGTTCACCCGGGAGCGAAAAAGCCGCCCGCAAGCTCTTATATTATGTTTTGGTTTCCTACAAAATATCTACGTAAAATATATCATTCCATAAAATAAAAAAATTATCTATGTTTCAACTTCCAAATGGCATCAAAGAAATATTATATATCTGAATAGCATCAGTAAAGCACAATGGAAGGGAAAAATATTCCTCAAGTTTGGCTGCTCTGTTTTGCACCTCCTCGGTATAGTATCAGTAAAGCACAATGGAAGGGAAAATTACTCCTCAAGTTCCAGTCAACCATGTCGTCATACTTTTGAGAGAGAATGGCCATAGCCCATGAGAACCTGGAGTATAAGAGTTTTGAAAATATGAAACAACATAAGATAATTAAAGTAAAAAAGTAAACTAGCGCTTTGAATTGATAGAGCATGCACTCCAAACAGGCAAAATCTTAGTAGGTAGTCAACCAAATCTGAAGCTCATAGTATACTTTATGTATTTGTTTGCTTAATACTTAGTCTTGCACTTGTTACATAAATAGATGGAATATGCATCATCCTTTACTTTGTTTCCTTTCACCTTTCGATTGATGGCTCTTGTTGACACCCAGCCCATGAAGCGCACCTAGAATAACACGGATTGTCATATATTCCGCTCGTCCGTCATATGCATTGCGGAAAAGGGCCTGATTACTGCGATGATACGTGAAGCACTAGTTGTATCCTCGGTGGGATAACCTAATTAACAAGAAGGTTCCCTGCTAACCACTACCTCTGTACACTAATATAAGATGTTTTTTAGTTTACTTCTAAAACTATAAAAACGTCTTATATTAGTGTACAAAGGGAGTTTTAACTAATATCAAATGTGCCACCGTACATGCAAATCAGTCTAATTTGGACTAGTACAAGAATCGGTCGAGTCAGCTAATTCTCTGCTTCCAGCCCTATCACTTTCTTTAGTTTTCCTCCTAGCTATATAATTAACTAGTCTGGTTGAGTCATGCATTGCAGCTGTCTCATTCCAAGTTAACGAAAAAGCAAACGCCAGATGCCCAAATGGGAAGACGATGTTGGAACAAACCCACCGGTGACCAACGCGGAACAGAACAGAGGTAGATGAGGGAGACACCATGACTTTTTCTGGCGACGAACGCCAGCACACGAATGCATGTATCTTGGCTTTATTCAACTCAACTACTCAAACATATATATGAAAGTACACACGCACACACGCAGCACAACCCCGGAAGAACTCTCACATCGACCGGGCACATACCCCAGATCTTTCACTTCTATAGAATCACTTTCATCAACACGATCATCCTCGCAAGTCTTACCCTTATTCAATCCTTTTCGAATTACCCTGCTTAGTTCAGCCACATCCTTCAGCCTTTTATTATCATTGAGACCGGGCACTTTGTCATCAGGTGGAGAAGAACGAACGGACATTTCTGATCTTTTGTATTCATGGTTCATATTGTGGTTGTTTGGGCACTTCTGTAAGCCTTGCACCTCTATTGAGTAATGCCTGAGTCGCAGCATTTCCTTAGGCCCCTCCCCTTCCGGCTCGGCACATACCGTCACTATGACGCGGCAACAAACCGACGCAACTACAAGCAATACACACGGGGGCTTTTATAGCCAGATGCACACACACTACACGCGATGGATCCGGCCACCACTAGCACGTACATAGCCATGCATCATTATCCCAACTAACCCACGTATGCATGCAGTACTAGATGGGCAATCCACTAACCAACAACCTGACCATCGGCTGCCTATGCACGCAACGCCTGAGGAAGCGGTCTCCCAGCAGCTCACGCGGCGCCTCCGCGCACTACGCGTATGCATGCCCACGCCCTGCATGGACCAGACCTGGCGGGTCGACACACGGGCATGGCTTGTTTTCAACATTCACCTCCCAAGTCATGACCTTGTCGCCCCCGGAATTGTTGCCGCCATCATCGTTATAGCCGTGACCCAGCCCGCACCACTGTGCTCCGTCACGACTCCGGCGACATACGCCGAGCTCCTTCGCTGCTGATGGCACACGCCTGGCGTCCCTGGAAGCCCCGACGCACCCGATGAGTCTGACTGCACCAGTACGTCCTGTACGTCCCGCGCGCACCTAACGCGTCCGACGAGCCCGACCACACCACATGCCGTGGACTCACCGCGCGCCGCCTCCGCGTCCGCCATGGCAACCGCAGCGACAAACACCGAAAGGATGTAGCCGAACTCGAGCACGGACTCGAGCACAACGGCGACATACGCCTCCTCCCAACGTCAACCGCACGCTCGTACGCGCGCCCGCGGTCCCGACGCGCCCAACGCGTCCAGTGCGCACCCATAACACGCACCGGTCGTGTCCGACTCGTCGCCACGGCTTATTGCCCTGCACCGCTGCGGCCTCAACTGCAGCGCAGCACCTCCATGCCGCCATGCCACTGTGTGTCATTGTAGCCGCCACCACGCAGGTCCTCCGCGGCCTCCTCACCGTGCCGCCGCTGCCACTGCAGCCTCCTCGCCGCGCCGCGCACCTCCATAGACCGACACATGGCCCGGAGCTTCACCGCGTAGCCGCCGGCGAACGCCGCCACCGTCGGCACGCCTCCGGCAAGGGGCAACATCCAAGATGAACCAGCTCATGATACCAAATGTTGGGACAAACCCACCGGCGACCAACGCCGGACAGAGGTAGATGAAGGAGACACCATGATTTTTTCCGGCGACGAACGCCGCGGCGCACGAACGACTGTATCTTGGCTTTATTCAACTCAACTACTCAAACATATACATGAAGGTACACACGCACACACGCAGCACAACCCCGGAAGAACTCTCACGTCGACCGGGCACATACCACAGTCCCGACGAAGACTACATCTTTCTTAGGCCCCTCCCCCTCCGGCTCGGCACATACCGTCACTATGACGCGGCAACAAACCGACGCAACTACAAGCAATACACACGGGGGCTTTTATAGCCAGATGCACACACACTACACGCGATGGATCCGGCCACCACTAGCACATACATAGCCATGCATCATTATCCCAACTAACCCACGTATGCATGCAGTACTAGATGGGCAATCCACTAACCAACAACCTGACCATCGGCTGCCTATGCACGCAACGCCTGAGGAAGCGGTCTCCCAGCAGCTCACGCGGCGCCTCCGCGCACTACGCGTATGCATGCCCACGCCCTGCATGGACCAGACCTGGCGGGTCGACACACGGGCATGGCTTGTTTCCAACAGACGAGACGAGATTTCTTGTTGTTGTTGCATGCACAGCTAGCAAGCTAGATAGTTAAATTGGATGCCTAATCTAAATAAAAGCACAACGTTGTCTGCTTATCTTGCATCTAATCCAGTCACTTTCTCTAATTTGATCATTTCAACCCCCTTTAGTTTTTCTCCTATTTTGATCGATGTGTGGCTAGCTAGGTTGGTTTGTTCCCTGAAAAATGTGATGCACTTTATTTTATTCTTCTCCACAAAGTAAAGAAAAGGCAACAACGCACACCAGAGAGTAGAAGACCGAAGATGCTTGGATGGCTTGTTGCAAATGTCACGTCATTCGTGTTTCACATGTGCGTTTGACAAGTCTACATCATATCATTCAGATCAGAGCAGGTGGTACTAGCTAGCATTTCAATTTTCAAAATAAGCTAAGTTGGGAACTTCATACATGCAAGATACTCGCACAGTGAGGCCAAATTTTCTGCTTTAACCTTTTATGCTAACAAATTCCAGAATTGACCTTGCTTGTAAAAAAGTTCGAATCCGATCTTTTTTGGTCACACCAACATCCTTAACGTTTAGCTTACACGGGAGACGCCATGGCCCATGGCGTCTGGGCCTGGCCTGCATGAGCTTAATGGCGTTGACGTGGCAAAGCGAAATGCCATGCTCCTTGCGTTTGGAGGAAACACCACACATCTTGGCGTTTGGTCCCTGGGCGCTCAGATTTGACTAGCTGCCATCGCTGCATGCATGCACGTCGTCTGCCTGCCATAGCATGCTTAGGTGAGTGACATGAGACGTAGGTTCTATGCGTGCATGCATGGGTAAGTAGGTCGTTATGTGGGGGAGTACGTTGATTATCAGCGATGAGCCGTGACAGTGTCCTAGTTCTTTCATGATCTGCTTTATGTTAAGAAGATTCTCTGACCCACGAATGGTAAAATCGATATATACTCCACCATAAGTGCTACTAGATAGATTCCTTAACCAAGTCTTGGGTATTATCATTACACTCCTGTATGCAACTGTACTACAATGTTAGAGCATCTAGCCGAACACCTTAAACCATGCCTCATACGCCCGCGGGCGCGTCTGATCAGTAATCGGACAGGAGAGAGAAGAAAAAGCGCGATCCAACCGGACCCCTTGTATCATTCATGTACACCCGAGCTGTCTGCGAACCCTCATATTCATCTCAAATACGGAAAGAAAGATGTATGACGTTTCCTCCAAACGCCAAGGAGCATGGCGTTTCGCTTTGCCACGTCGACGCCAACTAAGCTCATGCAGGCCAGGTCCAGACGCCATGGACGATGACGTCTCCTGTGTAGGCAAAATTTTGTGTTTTGACCCTTTTCTGAAACCTATTCGAGATCTGACCCTAGATTGAAAAATTTTCGAGATCTGACCCTTTTGCTACTGCCAGAGTCCATGGCGGTAGGGTCTAAGAGCCTACCGTCAGGGACTTTGGCGGTTGGAAACATCGCTACCGCCAAACGGGCTGGCGGTAGCCTGCACAACCCTACCGCCAAAGTGCTTGGCGGTAGGCACGAGCACGCACTGTGTTCAATACTTAGAAGGTTTTTGACGATAGGGCATGCAACCCTACCGCCAGGGTCCTTGGCGGTAAGTTGTTATACCCTACCGCCATGGTCTCTGACGGTAGCAAAAGGGTCAAATCTCGAAAAAAATTCAAACTAAGATCAGATCTCGAATAGGTTTGGGAAAAGGGTCAAAACACGAAATTTGGCCTCCTGTGTAACCCAAACGTCAGGGATATTGGCGTGACCAAAAAAGGTCAGATTCGAATATTTTTTACAATCGAGGTTAATTTAGGAATTTGTTAGTACAAAAGGTTAAAACAGAAATTTTGTCCGCTCAGTGATAGGCCTGAGTGGAAGAAAGATGCCAACACTACTAGACCGAGAATGAAGCAAGCTACAAGCCGCACGATCGATCTGATGCATCAAGCAAGCACTGGCTAGGAGTAGTTCTAGACTGATGAAGGTGCGGTGCCAAAGCAAGGCAGCTCTGGGCTCAATTTAGCTTGCCTAGCATTGCCCTATAAATTAGATAGATAGGTAGATTGCTCAAAAAAAAAAAGCTAGGTAGGTCCCTTTGCTGAAAAAAAAGGAAAAAGGCAAAACATGTTACTCACAAAACTGAACTTTTTTCTCGAAAAGGAGGAATATCCTCGGTCTCTGCATCTCTTGATGCACACAACCATCTTATTAAAAATCCAGGTTCAACACAAAGTCTTAAACAATGGTACAATGCTCAAAGCAAATAAAATTGCCACAACTGGAGAAAATAGACTGAGATGACTAAACGTCTATTCTATTATTGGACCGTCATCCAAACCGATTGTAAGTATCCCGTGCAACTGTATCCCATTGATTGCGCCATATGCTCTATGTGGCAGGGGCGGAGCTACAGGGTGGACAGGGTGGGCCGCGGCCTACCCTGGAATTTTGGGTCGGGCTGGATATCATATGGTATTCGATTATGGGCTGGAGGGAAAACAGCCCAGCAACAGCCTACTCATACAGGAGGGTCGTCGTCAGGAGCCCAACCTGGTCCCCGAGTCAACTCCTTGCTCATTCTCTACGCATTCCGATCCGCCGCCAGCCGCTTGCCTCGCCGAGTCGCCGTCGCCCGTAGCCAGCGCCAGGAGCCACCGCGCCTGCCCCGCCCAACAATTCTGCCGCTCTCTGACGCTTTCAATGGACGACTCAGCGCAATGCCACAATGATCGAGCTCCCGCACCGGTATTCCTCAGCTCCGGCAGAGCACCGCCTGGCGAGCAGTGTGCCTTCGTCTACCCAGGTTCCCCCTACGGTCTTCGTGCCCGACGCGTGCTCCTGCACCTCTCATCCTTCGTCCGGACAACAGATTCAGAGCCACCAGCAACCTTTTGGTGCTTGTGTCGATGGTGGAGTTGCAGCAGGCAGGTCTGGCTGTATGCATGTATATGGCTGTATCTAGATGGTAAAAACAATAGTTTGTTTTCCTTTCGCTTGTTCATTGCACAAGAAACTTGCATAATTGAAATATCTGGATATATTGGACCTCGAAACTACAATCTAAAATTTCTGAATATAATGTAGTTTCATATTTAAAAACATGCCAATTTGAACTTATGATTGAAAAAATATTTAAATTATTATTGCAGAGTTATTGAAGAATGAAAAGGACTGGGGACATTGCTTCTCTTTCTCAAAAACATGCTTCTTTAAACTTCTCAAGGTATGTATTATGTAGACTACTTTTATGCAAAATTGACACTTAA